AGGATATGATCAGGCAGGTCTGTCCATCCGCCAGGGTCTCCTGAATAGCAACTGATTCGTCCATCCTCCAGGCCTGGAACGCAAAGGGCTGCTGTCAGTGAATTACATATGTGAATTCGCCAAGTCGATTTAATGCCACTCTGCAACAACCAGGCCACAAGCTGGTGCCAAGCAACGAAGCTCCTACCGCACTCGACCATGCAGTGAGCGAGTGGGACACGCTGATCTGACCATGGCTGTGGGTTGCATCAGCCCAGGCAGAGTGACTCAGCCCAGCCTGTGGCAGGGAAACAGAGGCCCTGTCTGCACTACAGACCAAGCCACGCTACCTGGCAGCTTACCGAACACAGGCCGGTAATCGATGACTTTGCAGACTTTAAAGCAGACTTTGCAATGTAAATCAGATACGTACCAGCTGCTGTATTTGTACCAGATCCTTCCCCTGCTGCCTCCTTCCCGCTAAGGGCTCAGATTGGAGACGCAGACAGGATCACTCCACCTCAGATGCTCCGGCAGTCGCCTGAAGTAGCTTCAGCCAGACCCGCTTTCTGAAACTGTGTCACGAAAACGCTGAAATCATGTCTGCTGCCAGGTTCCTCGTAGCTCCGGCCCCCTCTGCAGCTGGAGCCCCCTCTTCTCCTGCCGGCCTCCTCCCCACTTCCTCCTCTCCACCCCGCTGCAGCCTGGCTGCTTTCCCACTTCCTCTCTGGCTTGTTCCATCTGCTCTGGCCTCTTCCCCCTTCTCGGTGTCCCAGATCTCCACATCAGGAATCTGGGCATTAAAGCAGGAGCAGCTGGCAGGGCCATGTCTATGGATTTGAATGGAAGCAGCGATCCAGCTCCTGTGAGCCCTGCAGACCCTCACCTCACAAAGGAACAGGCCCATCTTTGTTCTATCTCCCAGACACTGGCCAGATCCATGCTCAGACCCAGGGGAGAATCTGCAGTGATTTCAGATGGATTTTTGTTCCCTTTTGGGGCTAGTTCTCTCGACACGTAAGCAGGTTTTTCTCACTGCTGTTGGCCCCTCAGTGGAGAAAACAGGACATCACGGCAAGTAGGTTTTTCATTTCATAGCCTCTCTCTAAGGACACTGTCCCATCACCTGCTGGCACCTGGAGCAAGTGCCGTGTCCAGTGTTTCTGTTGCACCAGGTTAGCTGGTGCCTGTGCCCTTTGCTTTTCTCAAGCTATTTCCTTATTTTCTCTGTTAATTACTTAGAGCCAAGCCCTTTTCTCCCTATGTTTTCCCAGCCTTACCTCTCCCTTGCACCTGTCACACACAGGCAGGTGATCAGCCCTCAGGGCACTGTATGGTACCTGGCTGTAGGCTGCCATTTGACATCAGCAGTCTTCCTTCAACTCCCAGCATTCCTGCTGCCTCCTGCTCCCGCCCTGCACTGAGCCCTCCACATCTAACCCTTTAATTACATAACAAGCAATGTATTATGTCATCTTACAGGTCACATATGAATAAATAAATACCTTGTCCTTCCCAGTGTTATCAGAACGCTTCGGAGCCATTGGTTTTTCTCCGGGATTGCATTTCTGCTCGGACACCCAGAGGACGCTCACTTTCACTTTGTGGCTCAGGCCCTGGCCCAGTGCGGCAGCAGTTGGATTTCAGACAATGCAGGGGAAGGGTTAAGACTAAGAGCCGTTATGACAAATACATAAACAAGCATCACAAAAAGCTTTTTAAAAAAATAAAACTCAAATGTCGGGCTCAAACTACCTGACAGTTTCCCCTTTAAAAAAGAGCAAACAAATTTCCCGCAAAATGTTTTTTTTTTCCCCTTCCTGGTACAAAATATAAACAAGCCTCCAAATCCCCAGGTATTTTCTTATATTTTATTTCCTGCTTTGATTAGAGAGTTTAGAGAAGATTTTCAAAACTGACTGGTGATTTTGGGTGCCAAACCGGAGACTCAAAGAAACCTGTGGAATTGCTGAAAGTGCTGAGCGCCTATGCTTGGAAATATCAGACCTAAAGGGAGCAACATCCCTGCTTAAAGCAGATCTCATTTCTACAGAGCATTCTGAAAAAAATCTTAATCAGAGTAAAGGAGACTCCAGGACTAGTGAAGCCTTGGAAAGATTCATTTCATGGCAAAATTCAGAACACCATCTCCTCTGTCCCACCTCCCTGAGAACAAATCATTTCCGATTAAAATGCAGCAGCATCTTGGGCCACAGCTGGTGTGAGCAAAATGTGGAGCATCTGCTTCATTATGCAAATCAATCATTGCGGAGTCTCTCTGGGAGCAGGTGCCAGACCGAGGGCTTGTCTGCCCTTCAAATCCTGCCGCAGAGCAGCTGAACCAATGCAGCGGCACCCCTGTAGCACTTCAGAGAAGACGCAACCTACGCGGACAGGAGAGCTTCTCCCATGGGCGCAGGAACTCCACCTCCCCAAGAGGCCACAGCTGTGTCAATGGGAGAAACCCTCCCCTCAACAGAGCGCTGTCTACTCCGGGAGTTAGGTCGGTATGACGGCGTTGCTTGCGGGTGTGGATTTCCCCTGAGCAATGCAGTTATACTGACATAAGTTGCTAGTATAGGCCAGGCCCAAGAAACCAAACCAAACCCTCTGCATACTAAAGACAGGAGAGCGTGGCTTCAATTAACAATTGTCACTATCGAGTTGCAGCTGCACCTGTCGTGGCCAAGCAGTTATGCAACAAAGCACCTGCCTTTGCTTTGAGCGATCTCTCATGAGGCTGGGGCTACACCCGCCCTCCCATGCTCCCATCATGAGTGAAATGGTGCGGAGGGGGTTAATTCTTCAGTGGTTTCTATACATTCAGCATGTGTGAAGCTGCTTAGAGCATTACACAAATGTGAGACCATCCCCAGTCTGACAGACAGGAATCTGACCCAAGGGGAATCACTGCTAAGATGGGAGAGAAGAGGGCTGCTTCTGGAGCAACCAGAACGGTTACACTAGCTATGCCTCTGAGACAGCCGCGGGGCGAGCGGGCGGGCGGGGCGGGGCAGAGTAGAAAGGGGTTGGCCAAAATATTCCATTTGCTTAATGTTATTGGGGGGGAAATTCTTATTTGAAGAAATTAGGTGCATTGTATAGAGTGTTATAAATGAATGGCTGGGACCCCAGGAGCATCTGCTGAGCTGGCCCAGGGTGGAGTGGAAGTAGAGGGGTCAGGGATATTAGGAAAAACCTTGTTTTGCCAGTAGGCTGCTGTAGATGTTTTTTTCCATCTGCCCTAGAGGGACACTGAATTCCTATAATTCTGCAGCTGTTTTTTTATTTTCTAGAATCCTGAGAATGTGGCGCCATTTCACGTTTCGTCTCTTCCAGGTTTTGGGAACGATTAGGGAGTAAATATCCCTCTTCTAAGGTAACGCCCCAACAGCAGGAACATTCCTGGCTGTAGGGGAAAAGGACACCTGCTGCTCCAGAGCCAGGCTCCTGCTAGCTCCTGAGCAGAAGCTCACAACAGTGGGAAGGGAGGAGGCAGACTGCAAGGAAAGCTTAGCCTGGGGATTGCAAACTATAAGAAGTATCCGTAAAATGCTGCAGGGGATGTTTGTGTGTGTAATTTATGCCAGCTCAAGTATAAACATGAGCATTAAGGCCTGCCAGCAGCTGAGGTCTGCATCCGATGAAGTGAGCTGTAGCTCACGAAAGCTCATGCTCAAATAAATTGGTTAGTCTCTAAGGTGCCACAAGTCCTCCTTTTCTTTTTGCGAATACAGACTAACACGGCTGTTACTCTGACACCCAAACAATGATGACAGGATCTGTTCCTCTCAAAGGCAGTTGTTAGCACAGTGTGAATTTTTCCACTAGCACTAAGCAGTGCCCTGCTTATGATTTGTCATAAGCTAGCATTTGAGGTCTGTAACAAATAAAAGCCCCACCTTTGGGGTCTGTAAACACATCAGAACGAGTCGGCTGTAGACTAGGCTGCAGGAGTCACAGCACAGAGTAGGCAAGGCAGTCATGGGAACAAGGAGTCCTGCACAGAGGAAGAGGCACACTGAAGACTTCAAGGAGTTTGGCTGAAAATAATAACCGAGTCCCCATGCCAGCGAGAGGGAGGTCGCCAGGCACTTCCTAGTTTAGGCTGCAACAGCAATGAAGGGTTTATTGTACACGTCGTTTCAGCCACATTCATCACCCAAGGGCCTGCCAACCACCCTCCCCTACTCCACATCTGCCTTGAGTCACTGTCTCCCTGACCTCCCCAGCACGACAAGCCCTGAAACAGGCTTCAGCCATGGCAGAAGATCGCCTCCAATAATTAAACACGGAGGTTGATAAATATATTTATTTATAACGCCTCTTCAAAGGACAGATTCTGAAAATAGAACAACAGAGTACAACAGTCACAACAGAGCTCATATCTATCATCAGCTATCAGCAATCTCTGCCTTGTGGTTTCCAGCAAACATAATTCAGTCACTTAATCAGTATCAGCTACATTTGGTGCAACAATTGGTCGCAGCAGATTCTTTTAGACACAGACTAATCCCGGATTAAAAACATGGCTAGAATGAACAGTCCCTTACGATCCTGGTTCTACTTTTATTAGTCACCCTTTAGACAGTAAAGACTCCGGGACTGGCAAACAGGCTCCTAAGACATATGTGCCACTTTTAGAGGAACGCTGTTTCCTTGGGTAAGATTCTAGAGAAGAAATATGGTGTTCCTAATTTAGCCCACCCAGGTAGGAGACATTCCATCATCAGTGTGGTTATAAGCTAGTTATTGAGGTCAATGCTTAGAAAAGCTACATTGCAAGCAGGTCACTACCCCAGGTGGACTTTGCTGGTGCCTGGATTTATGGCAGGATTTTCTGCCCTTTCAGAGGCTTCTTCCACCCCATCATTCTTATAGCTAGATGCATGGGCAGTGGGTGAACCACAGGCTCGGGGAGGATAGCCCCTGACCTGGCCCACCCCTTCTGCCTGAGGACCTGCTCCTCCCACCCTCCTTCCCACCCCGAAGCCCAGAGCCACCCCCACCAGGCTGCCGGAGCTGGGTGGCCCCAGACACCCCAAGTCCCAGCTGCCCTAGCCCCAGTGGGCTTCCCAGAAGAGCAGCAGCCTGCCTGAGCTGGGGCCAACTAGCAGCAGGAGGGGGTCCCAGGGCAGAGCATGGGCAGGGCCACGCGGGGATGTTGGAGAGGCACAGCATTCCCCAGCTTATTATCCGCACCGCCCACGTAGGATGTCATTCATTCCAGGTAATCCAAAATCTCAGACTAGTAAAGTCACACGGCCGTAGCCCCAGGGTGCTTCACTTTGTTTGAAGTCACACAGTCCTACGGGTTTTTGGCAGGGAAGTGGGCAGCTTTGCAGCCTGCTTAATGCACAGGCTGTGTGTCTGCTCTGTTCCCCTTTGGATTTCACAGGGAGAGGCACAATCATGGGGGTTTAAGGTTCATTAAAAACACAAGGTTCCAAAAAGAAACTAACCGTGGAAGTTAAAATAAGGCTTAGAGGTCGTGTATGGAACTTGGAAACAGCAACCTATTGCTATTCAGAACTACTCCTACGAGCTAACTTCAATCAATCAAAGAATCAGATACACTAATACCAGCCAACATTCAAGTCAGCTGGGCCAGTGACTGTCAGCAGCGCGGCTGCCACCTCAGACCAAGTTAAGGTCAGACTTGTGCTCTCTGGCCTATGGAGGGTGGTGAATACGTACAGCTAGGGGAACTGGGGAACTACCACCTTCAGGGGTCAGCGGGGCCATTGATTAGTCCCTGATGTGGGGCAGCGTTTACCAGGAAGCTGGGAGACCGGCCTCGCCTCAGGAGATGTTAAGACAGGAGGTTCTACAAGCTTGGCCGTTAGGAAGATGCCAGTGATTTCAGCCAGCAGCTCAGGCCGGTTGGTTTACTGGCTAGGGCAGCTCTTGGGTTAGGAACCCGTGCAGACACTAGCTATGCCAACGGGAGGGGTCTCCGCCTCCCCGAGAGACAGCAGTTATGGTTGAGGGAAGGACTCTTCCAGCGACCTAGCATTTTCTACACAGGGGTTAAGTCGGCAGAGCTACGTCTCCCAGAGGTGTTTTTCACATCCCTGAGAGACGTAGCTATGCCAGTGTAAGCGCCCAGTGTAGACCAGCCCCAAGTCCTGCCTTGCCCCCTCTAGCAGCATGTTCCCTTGGTTAGCAGAGGCACCTTAGCATAATGGAAAGCTCTCCCTGCTCGGATACTCCCATTACAGTGTTTTCCTTCCATGGGGGAGGGCTGGGGTGTGTGCAGCAGAGGACTGTGATTTCCCTCGGACACCGTCCCTGCTACACAGACAGCTGCTTTACATACAAACAAGAGGCGTGAACGGTGGCAGAGTAATTCACAGAGTCCCCTAGTGGCTGGAGCTTGCCCTCTGTACCCCCAGAGTCAGGAAGAGGTGCTGGTGCTCAGAAGGGAGGGGGGTTCACTGTGGGCTGCCCCTCAGCAGCTAGCCAGCTCCTAATCCGTTCTGCACAGACAGCGCACTCAGGAGTCAGTCCAGCGAGCAGCTGACATCACTCCTGTGGCTAGAAGGAAGCATGTGGCACAATGCCTCCCCTCTCCCCAGGTCCGGGAGCCCCACATCCATCCCCATGGCCACTAGTTTCCACCCTCCCCTGGATCAAATTGGAGAATCCACATGGGAGAGACTAAGGGTCTGTCTACACTGTAGTAGGACACCTGTGGCTGGTCCGTGTCAGCTGACTCAGGCTCATGGGACTCAAGGTGCGGGACTGTAAAATTCAGTGTAGAGACTGGGCTTAGGCTGAAGCCCAGGCTCTAGGACCCTCCCACCTCCCAGGTCCTGGAGTCATCTGACAGGGGCCAGCAGTGGTGTTTTACTGCAGCGTAGACACACCCTACTAGTTCAGTCAGCTGCACTCACTGGGGTCTGTATTTCACAAACACCCATGGGTGCTAGCCACTAACTTCCGTGGGGCTAGCCAGGCCCACACAGAGAGGAGAAGGCCTGCGGTTTCCAGCGACCTCCCTTCCTGTGATGCTGATTCAATAGATGGAATTTTCTAGCCAGCCTTAGCTGAATTTAAGAGGTACAGAAACCCTAGATCTTGAGCCAGTTTTAGCCAATATAGTGTATGCCCCTGAATCCTTCCCTAGTCAGCCTACGGAGCTCAGAGGGTCATTGCTTAACCCTGAAGGAAAGTGGAGAGACTGTAATGCATGACAAGACCCACACCACAGGCCAGGAGTTTCAGGAGTGGGGCCAGAGCCACCTGCCCAGCGCCATTGAAGTGCACGTTGCCATCCAGTTTCAGGCAGCTAGTTTTAGGGGTAGCTTGGCAGCATTCCTGGTAACAGAGGGCTGCTGCTCCTCTGGCACAGACTGGGCTGGCGGTCTTGCAGACTTTGCTACATCCAGCCACGTAATTTGAGCCAGTCTTCTTCATCTGCAGGAAGGAGACAGACATTAGCAGTCTTGGGCTTTAGCACCCCTCTGGGTTCTTGCATTCTTGTTAATGGGACCAACTCAAACCCCCAGGCCCATCCTCCTGGTTCAGAGGCAGAGGATGCACAGAGTCAGCTTTAACAAAAGCTGCAGTGCCCATATCACTACCCTAGTTGAGGCGCTTGTTGGAATCTCCAAGAGGTCAAGGACAAAGAGAACCACAGAGACTCAACTACTCCCTGCCCCAGGTGTTTGTCCCAGGGAAGTTTGCTGTCGATGACTCTGCTTTAGCTGCTCTGACTCCAGAGCTGTCAGGATGGCACAAGATCCACAAACATCTCTATGCTGCAAGTGCTGACAAGAGCCCAGCACCAGCTGTGAAACGGCAGCACTGATGGAGCAATGTCAGACGGAGCGGAGACCTGGCCTGGAGCCCTTCAGTCCTGCTCCATTCACAACTCTAGTTAAGAGGCACAGCTCAGGGTGGTTAAAGAATTGCCAAACAAGTCCAGTACCTCACAGAAGTTGTATCCAACGATGCATTCAGCAACAGACTTCTGGCCTTTGAAGCATCCAGCTCCCTTACAGGAGAAGGTTGTGCACACTTTCCCCTACAAGACAGCCACGAAAAGCACTGTGAACACCCATCACTCCAGAGAGCAGAGCTACCACAACAAGGTCTGACATTTGAGTCACTTTCCTTTTGCCTGGTCATTATGAGACACTTGTGTGAGGAGCTAAAAGTCACACAGGGAAAGCAAGTGGTCCCAGGGACCCCAGGATCAGCAGATTGCCCTCCAAGAGCCAGGTGGCTGTTGGGCAGTGACTGGCACTGTACAGGCAGTTCCAGCAAGCCCAAATCTTCATTAACAAGACCACCTTTCAGGGGCTGGCAGCCACATTTTACAACATTCACTGACACTCCAAATACAGAAAGATCAAAGAAAAATCAACTCCCAACACCCAAACTTCACTAAAATTGCACCCTAGCTGGCAAGTGCCAAACCCTCCTCTGCCTCCACCCTCATGGAGGGGGCTCTGCAGGGTTCCATGGAGATAAGCAAACTCCCAGCCATCATCTGGGAATCTCTTCCATGCATCAGAGGACTGAGATGAAAGGGTCCTGTTATGGGGGTAATGCATGGCAGTTCGAGGGGGGGGGAAGAGAGAGAGAGAGTGTGCGCATAACAGTTCATGGCAACGCTGCTCAGCGTAGGATTCCCACTGGTGCATGCCTACACAGCTCTGCAGTCTGATCATGCTGGAGGCAATACTTACATTCCTGGGAGGGGGCTTCATGGTGGTAGTTGTGGGAGCTGGAGTGGTGGTGGGCGGCAAGTCACCTGAAAGAGACACGAAAGGAGACTGGTGAGACAGAGCCATGCCCTCCTGCTACTCTGCATATCCATGTAGCCTTGGGACCCAGGTCTAGAATCCAGAACACGGCCAGAGACTGACACGCCCCAGTGGAAGCCGCTAGAGTCATTTTAACATGGGGATTTACATTAGTGCACTTCAATACAGGAGACAGGTATTCAGCAGCCTCATTCCAGAATGTGAACCACATCTGTTACTTCTCCCCAACCCCTGCTCTCCCTACCAAAGCTCAGGTGTGTTTGGTGCCTAGGAACTGCCAGGGCAGGCCAGGCGTCTATCTAGCCCAGTATCTGGTCTGACAGCACCTTGGAGACAAATTCAAGAAACCCCCACAATGGACATCTGTGAAATGTCCCTTGTAGGCAGGTTATTTCTTCCTCCAGTAAGGATTGTTCCCTGCCCCAAGCCCTTCTATTTTTTGCCCCAGCTAATGGAACTGTGGATGTTTTCATCATCCAGAGAAGTGTCTAATCCTTTGAGAAAAAGTCTTGTCACATTTTTGGACTCTGACATCTTTTGACAGCGAGTTCCACAGTTTAGTTAGTGATCATTTGGTCACGAGTTTCACCTTGGCACAATGGCAGTGAGTGGTCTGGGGAGTGGCTGAGTGAGCCAATCACACTCCTAATGGGAATCTGAACAGGTGGCTAAGTCCAGCTATGGGCCTGCGTGCCCCCCAGGACCCAGCAGAGCGGAGCCACTCCCAGGAAGGAGACCTGGAATTCACCCAGCTTGCGGGCCTGAGAAGAATGGAGAAGCAGGAAGTGCTGCATGATCCCGGCAGTGGAAGAAGAGAGAACTAGTTTGTTTACCCCTGTGGGATGGAATGAGGGAAATCAGGATACGTGGGAGGCTCTCGAGGGGGCGAATGGGCGACTGTGATGCAGCTAGAGGAGGCAGCAGTAAGAGAAACCCCAAGTGCATGCAGGTGAGCCACCACGACAGCTCTGCCCACTCCACCAGGGCTGCGAGACCCTACAGCCTGTGGGTATCAGGCTTTCCTGCCAAGACATTGCAGGATGGCTTTTCCAGAGAAAGCACCATCAGAGAGCTACAGTGCTCCTAGGAATCCGGTGCCTGGCCTTCGCGAGCGATCGTAATTCAGTTAGTTATCCTGCAAGAGGCCTTCCTACGGAATCCCTCTGGCCGAACCAGAGCCGTCGGGAGTCCAAACCCCCACAAGCACCAGAGCCAGCTCCTGAGCCAGACTCTATGGCCTGGATGGGTTCTACGCATGGGAGGGACAGGCACCCATCCCTGCTACCCATGGCTCTCTTTGGAAGTGGAGGGTCTAGATGCCTCTGCTGTTGTGGCTTGTCTCCAGAAAAATGTGTTGGATGGAGACTGCTGTCACGTAGGAACTTCAGCTACTCTACGGCCCCTACGGGCTTCAGAGCCCCCGCAGGGATAGACTCTGATCCCGCACCACATGCACAGAACCCAGCACTCAAGGTGAAGCTCCCTTAGTTGTTAGCAGCACAGAGCCTATGACTTTCATGAGAGCAGATCTGACAATCCAGCAGAGGGCCGTGATCACTGCCATGCATCAGCCAAAGGGCAGGGGAAGATGGTGAGAGTACAAAATAAACCCACTCCTCCACTCAGGTGGCAGGTGCCCCAGGCCCACCCCACCATTCCAGCCCTTCTCCTTCTGCCTTAGAGAAACAAAAGCCACAATGCAGGTAGGGCCCTACGTGAGAGACAACACACGTCAGTCTCTGGCCATGTGCAACAGAATGAACCCTTCTATTTGCTGCAGGGAAACAAAGTCTCTTGCTGGGAGTGAGAAGCCCAGTGCAGGTGGCCAGTGGGCCAGGCTGTTCCCAGCAGGCGGGTTACCGTAGGCGGTGGCATTGAGTTGCAGGCACTGGGATGAGTTGCAGCACTCCAGGATGCACTTGCTCATGCTCACGCTGCCGTTGGTCACACACATCTCGGTGCCATTCTCGCTCCCACACTCGCTGCTGCACTTGGCTGTGTAGTTTGTGCTGTTGAGACGATAGAGCTGCAGGGACAAGGGAAGAGCCAGAGCCATGTACTCGAGATGCTGACAGCCACACTTGGCCCACACACCCAGCACTGGTTTAGGGGGCGGTGGCTGGCAGAGCCACAGAGCTCATGGTGTGGGGTGGGCTCATCTCTGCACTCCCCCATGCCACTGAGAACAGCCTGAAAAACTGCACCAGGGATTGCTCTGGGCATGCTGGAGCCAGGGGGACACACCGCGATACAGCTGACAGATGGCTGACAGCAAGGAAAAATTGGCAAGCTCTAAGGCCAGCTAGTTCTATCCCAGGGAGCAGGTCATGGGAGACACCAGGCTGCTCCTGCGAGCACTAAGCAAAGGGCAGGTTTAAGAACACAGGAGACAGGATGGAGTTAAGGAGGAAAGGATGGGGATGGGGAGGGGATGGACAAACCACAAACCAGGGTTAGGAGAGAGCGTGACAAAAAACAGTCAGAGCAGGAATAAGTGACAGACTGTGCAAAAGGACAAGAACAGGAGCTGGGCACAGGTTTATAAGCTCTGGGGTTACCAGGCAATAGGCTGGCGAGGAAGGGAAATATTGTGACTCACATTGCATCCTCCTCCCCTGCCTCCAAAACACATCACAGCAACCCAGGGCTTGGGAAGCTTCTATGATCTCCCTCCCCTCCCGCAGGCAGAGCCGAGACATCAGACAGGATGCTCTCCCAGGGTCTAGGAGTGCTGCACCCAGGGCGTTAATGCGAGCAGCTCACTCATGCAGGGAGCAGCAGAGGTGACTGGCACAGTGCCCACCCGGAGAACTCCCCTACCTCACAGTGAGACTCATTGTGGCAGGTCGCGGTGTCATTGGCATAAGCTTCCTCCTCGTAGCATCTCTCTCCAGAGCACTGAAAACTCTGGCAGGTGATCTGCGGGAAGAGCACACACACTCCGAGGGCACCTCTCTCACTACAGACCTGCCCATGGCAGCCCCACGCTGGCAATGCACCCAGCAGAGCTCCTCTTGGCTGTCATTTGCTCTGGCCTTGCAGATCACTCACTGCCTCTGGGAGCGTCTGCTCAGCTACCCTAGGATGGAATCTGTGGGCTCATGCAGCACCAAGAAATCCAGCTTTGGGGGAAGCCTTAATTATCAGCTAGGATAGCTTCTTATCAGCCACCCCCAGGAGCTCCTGCCCTCCCAGCAGAGCCGCAAAGGAACTCTGCTCTTCTCTCACCTCCCCACTCACACCCCTCCCGCCCCTTTGGGCTCCTGGCAGAAACCCTGGACACTATTTGACCGAAGGCAGTTTCCTTACAGGTGTGTCTTCTGTCCCATTAGCAGAGTAGTTGGAGACCATACATGTGCTGGAAATAGGGGAAGTCTCTGGAACAGAGGGGGTGGTATCGAAGAAAGACACGGCAGGAGGAGGGCTCGTCTCTGGAAGGTAGAAGGTTTCCAAGTGATAAGTCATCAGGAGGGAAACGTATCTTGTGCTCATAACAAGTTGAGAGCTAGGTGTCCAGAGAAGCTGCAGCCCTGCCCTTGCATAGCATGCTGCCTGAGGGGCTGTACAGAAATCGGCAGGGAAATCATGTGTGGGATATGGAAGGTACCAGAGGGGAAATACTCTAAATGTGAGTGTCTGGGGAGCCAGAGATGACGTGTGGACAACACTCCATTGCATGACTACTAGCATCAGCGATAAACCCATGGCTGATTTTACAGTTCCTCCCTCACCGCTGGGACCTCCACTGAAGGGGTGAGCCTGGCCCCATAACCCTGCTCACCAGTGACACTTTGCCTAAGGAGAAGTCTTTCCTAGAATTAGATCTGCATCAGAAGGGAACAGGCTGGTAGCTGGGGAGGCAGGTTAAATCTGGGTTTCCTGGAGCTCTAGCAGCTGCATGGAGAGAAGAGCTTGGCACACAAATCAGAAACGCTGAGATTTTTCCTATGTGTGGTTTCCCTTTTGCATACGCATCTCGGACAGGGGGGGGCAAGCGTCCAAACAAAACCACCTCTAAAGCAGTTTCCTCAAAAGGCACCTAGAGTTCTCCCCATTGGCCAGTCTGCACCTCACCTGCTGATTCAAGAGGATTCCAAGAGCTAAGATGCAGAGTCAAAATGCAGAGCAGGAGGAAGCCTGGAACAGAGAGAGGAGATTGCACAGTGCTGAGCTTGTAACACCTGCTGCCAGAGTTACTCTACTGCAGAATACGCTGCACTAGGGAAGTGTCAGTGTTCTCACACTTGGGCTCCAAGGCCAAGTCATTTTGAGTCACCGGCTTTAAAAGTCCTGGCAGAAGGGGGTGTCTGGGAGGCACCTCTCTCCTACCCAGAGAAGTTTGCATGGGGCCCTGTGCATGGGGGGAGGGAGGCTCACCCTTTGGAGTCAGCAGGCACAGCGGGTGCGAGCAGGAAATGCTGCAGGACCCTGACCGTGGCCTGGAGACAGCAGCTTTAGCTGGAGAGCCAAACTCCCTCCTCTTGCACAAACCCCTTAGAACTGACTGTTCTTGGACGGCTCTCTTCCCAATTCACTATTTTTGCTCAATAAGAAGACTAATTAATCACTTGTCAAGACAGCGTGAAGGGCTCCCTGAATCCAGGACTGACACCTCCAGGATAGCCCCAGTCCCAGACAAATGCCCTGTGGAGGGCAGAGGGAGCATGTCACAGACACAGAACAGCAAGGCTGTATTCACTGCTGGGGTGAGCTGTAGGCATCGCACCGTTTACAGGAAATGTCACCAAGGCAGCAGCGTCTGCTTCTAGTAACTGAGCAGAATGCAGCCCTGAGCCCTGGGCCATCGATTCCCGGGGGGAGTGCACTGTGCAGGCAGGGGGAGTGAATACCCTGCCATTCCTCATGCCACACGACACAGCCATTGTCTAGAACTGTAAGGGCCCAGCTGAGCCATGAGAGGATGTTATTTGTGGGCCCTTTGAGAGGCCAGAGGAAGCAGCTCTCACCAGCCTGGGCACAGCCTGGAGAGCAGAGGCGCCAGCATGGCAGAGCATCACAAATCTTCAGCACAGCAGATGACCCCTCGTCGCACTGCTGAGTTACCAGGGCAGGAGGCGGGGCTGCCTGGTCCCGTGATGCGAGGGTGCTCTGGTAGCAGAGCCTCTCCCACAGCACTCGGGGAGCTGCCTGCTGTCGCCGAGCTCCCTGGCAGTCACACCCCCACTGACAGCTGCTCCCGCCACAGTGCGTCAGTGGGGCTCACCCCGGCACGCCCACATCGTCACACGGGAGCGTGCACACGGCGGCTGCGTGTGGGGCACCCGCTGTCACAGGGTGCGGGAACAGCAGGCTGAGACTGTAGCTTAAATCACATGGCCAGAGGCTTTGCGCAGTACCTGGGCCGCTGACCACACGCAGAGGCCACTGGTCTGGGACAACACTAGTGCCAACTCCGCAGTAGGTACGCCCTGTGCTTTCATCTCTCCCCCAAGAACGCCCCTTGGAGGCAATTCGGCTTCCACGCTGCCTTATTCCTCCCTTTTGCACTGCGGGCCACATGTCCTGTGGTGAGACTGGGTTTGGTTCGTTAGTTCCAGCACCAGCTACCGAGCGGCCAAAGCAGCCTGAAGGCAGACGTCTGAGGGGGCAGGGGAGGAATATTTTATCATTTAGCAGGTTTGCTTTTAACAGGCTGGGATCGTCACTGACACTTTGCTCCTGAAATGAAGTCACTTACCTCGGCCTGGAGCAACCCGGCATTCCCAACTTGCCATCTTCAGCCAGGGAGGCGCTCACACCAACAGAACCCTGGGGCAGGGAAGGGAAGACAGAGTAAGAGCTGCAGCTCACTGCCGTGGGACCCAACTGTGAACGTACTGCACCCACGAGACAAACTGTTCTGGACCGACCAGCTGCAGCTCCCTGCGAGCCATACAGCTCCAAGGCCAGCGGCATTCCCGTTTATACTTTCCTGAGAGGGCAATTCAGAGCATCTCAGGACCTTGTCAAATTTCAGAAACTCTCCAAGACTGGCAGTGGTCCTTCCCCCGTGGAAATTCCCCAGGTCGTGTGTTTAGAACACGAAGGAATTTGGGCCAGTGAAGCGCAGGTCTGGCCTCTCAGTTGTCTTGTGGTCAGCTCTCCTCATGGGCCTCATTATCTCCAGCAGGGTCCAGCACCTGCTGTCCCACCACTCGCCAGAGCATCATGTGGGAGAACCAAGCTCTCCTTTGACATTACACTCCTAGTCCTTGTGCCTGAGCCTGCCCCACATGGCGAGTGCGTTGCACAGTCCAGTGACACCTCTCAGAGGCCTCATTCCAGGTTAACAGCCTCCTTATCTCAATTGACTTTGCCTCTGAACCGAACGACATGCCAGTGTCAGCACGGGGCGTTCTTTCACTGCGTCATTTCGCCAGTCCTCCGGCTCGCTCACCATCTTAAACTGCCTCCCAGCCCTGCCATGGCGCCTAGCCCGGGTCAGCAGCCAAAGCCCCCTGCCCCCTCCAGCAGCTCCACACTGAGAGTGTCACGTCTGCAGCGTGCCGAAGACAGACATAGGGGCACAAGTTTAACATCAGGCTAACGCCGCAAGGAGGCCTAAGCCAAACGGGCAGCATCTGATCTCGTTCAGAAAGAGCTTCCTGTTCCCACTAGACCTGCCACGGCTGCGCTCTCCAGCCTGCTGCACAGAACGGCTGCTGGAGCCAGGGGGCTTCGCCGCTTGGTGTGGATTACGCTGCGCCTGTGGCTACACCAGGGTATTTGCAGCTGGAAGTAGGGTCAGTGCCTCCCTCAGTGATGCAGCTCCACCCGGGGAGCAGAGCAGAAGCTCCCTGCCTGCAGGGGGCACGGGAGAGCGAGCTGGCTGGGCAGCCCTGCTGCACCTTCCCACCTGGGCTCAGGTTCCAAATGGAAGTGCCCCTTGCCGGCCCCTCGGCTCCATTGTCCCCAGGAGCCAGCACAAACTGCTCCTGCAGCCCAGCTCAGCAGGGAGCTTGAGGAGCCAGCTTTGCCCTGATCACAACCTGAGTCCTACATTCAGATACACGGAGGTGCTTCCGGGGACAGTTTGGGGCTGCAGTCTGGTCAGAGAGGCAGCTTTAGCAATACCGGAGAGCTCCCATGGCAGTGGCTGCCAGAGAAGCAGAGCCCTGGCCCTGGGGTATCTACCAGAGATAAATAAGACCCACCCATAGGAGGGCTACACACAGTCACAATTCACAGTGCTGGCTAGTTGGGAGAGTCACCCCAGGGAACAAAAGCAAAACCGTGCGACTTGCAGAGCGAACCCTGGTTAACCCAGCCCATGTCCACACTACAGCCATGGCACTGCAACCAGGCTGCTATAGCACAGATGCTTCTTACAGCGATCAGGGGGCTTCCGCGATTCTGTTGCTGTAAATGGCAGCTGAGTCAACAGTCACACCCTTCCATGGACCTAGCTGCGTGGATACCGGGGGTTAGGTCTGCATGGCTGCGGCTCTCAGGAGTGTGATTTTCACATCTCTGAGTTCTGTAGCTATGTTAGCCTCACTTTTTAGTGTCAGTCAGGCCTCAGAGTTCACACTGCTAGAATGGCGGGGCCAGTGCTCACTGTTCACCAGTATCCGCACAAGGACGGCTCAGCCATGGGCAGGTAGCAGACAGGAATCAGAAATTCAGCCAGAGACCCAGGAGGCCTCCGATTCATCACTCCACTATAGCTATTCTCCAAGGTGCACTTTCGACCAGGTCCTCAAACCCAGAGCTCCCCACCCCTCTCTGGATGATTCTGGCACGGCTCACGCCGGGAGTTCTGCCCTTTCTTCATTTCACCAGACATGTTTAGGGCTAGTCCAGCTTCCCGATCAGCCCTCCTGGGAGACGCAAGTCCCACACTGCCACATCAGAGGGGCAACTCTCCCTTTCGCAGGAGGCTCCAACCTGATCCAGCGTGACAGAGGTGTTCCCAGAAACATGCAGGCAGACTAAGCAAGAACAGGCAGCTCAACTCAGTTCGCCCGGCTCACCTTCGCCCTCGCCCCTAGCTCTGCACCCAGCTCCGCTCTCCCTTTGCTGAGTCTGGAAACTTAATTCGGCTTCCCCAGTGGGCTCAAGCTGTCCCTGCCCCCACCTGTGGCTGCTGATGCAGCTCTCGCCTCTCACGCTGCTGCTTCCGCTTCACCCAGGGGCCCTCGTCCCCCTCGCTGGTTTCTGAGCCGAGGGGCAGAACTGCAGGAAATGCCCCTGCCACCACCCTGCCCAGGTGCAGCAACCGGGGCCCTTCCAGTCACCGTGGCAGCCGCAGCAAGTCAACAAGAGCAGAAACGGGCCTCAGGGAGCAGCGCTCCGCTGGGGCGGACGGTCAGAGAATCTGCCCACGTCCCAGAGCTCCCCTCAGCGTCCGCAGCCCCGCGGCACCATGTTAACATCCGCAGAGTGCACAGGCCAGGGGCGCTCCCGCCGGCTCGTCCCAGGGAGAACCACATGGCCCTGAGCTACAGGTATGGTTGCCTCCAGGCCAGCGGGACAGACCTGCCTGGGGCCGGCAAGGCGGTTCCCTCACTCGCGGCCACCACCTCCTCCCCACTTCCCGCAGCCACAGAGGTGGGGGGCTCCCTGCCAGGAGCTTGCACTCAGGTGGCCCATGCTGCATTCTCTTCTTGTGTGGCCAGGGGGGCTCCTCCATCTCTGGGCTAATGACCTAGCCCCTTTCCCCCCTACTAACACCACTGGGTGGGCATTCCTGGACACTGTCGTCCAGCAACAGAGCCACGCTCTGCTTTTAACCTCAGAGGCTGGGCTACATGGAAGGAAGAGCAGGAGTTGGGACTAGATAAACCCTGGGGTCTCTCAGTGCAGATTCTTGTCCTCTGTCACACTGCAGCTAGGGGAGCTGCACAGTGTATTGTGCAAATCCGGGGGGATCGGGTATTATGTTGGCGATTTAGGAATGTGGTGATGACAGAGATTGTTCAGCTGAGCAATATTAGGGCCTAGCAGACGCAGCACTGGAAAGGATGCAGGCTCAGACCTGGAGTCTAACCTCAAATCTGGCACAACCATCATTTTGTTTCCCGTAAGGCTCCCCAAACTCATCAAGGCTGCCATAGCAACCAGCCAGCACCGTCGTCCAGGGGCTCAGAACGAAGTAAACACACATGGGAGCCCCCGTGCAGCTTGGTTGATATAGCGACATTGTGTTTGCTTGAGTCTCACAGGTAATTCGTAAAGCTGCAAACAGACCCGGTGGGCAACGCCTATGGGTTACTGTGCTGATAGGCATCGGGCAGCAATTAGCTTCTTCTATTCAAAATAAAGACGTGAACAGCTGGGAAAGAGGGGCCTCTCTGCCAGGAATGAGTGAGCCTATAACTACAGTGTTAACGGCTCCCACACAGGAAAGGAAGGGGCTGGTGAAATGTCAATTCTGATCCTGCACTCCGCACGCAGGCTCAACCCTCTGAACCCTGCATTAGGGAACAGTCGCCCCATCACACTTCTCTTTGGGCAGAGATGAATCCTTCTAGAGTGAGTACTTGAGAGTGTAATGATCTCATCTTTACCCAGTGGCCTTTATGCAGAAAAACTCCAGAGTTGCTAAGAGCTCTCCCTAGAGGAATCACTTCACCCATCTTTAAAGTGCAACCAGCTCTGAGATACATTTCACAGCAAATAGCATCACAAGAGTCCAGGGCAGCAAGGGAAGACAAGTGCCTCCCTCATCTACGTGAAACTGCAGGAGAGGGGAGTTACATGAACAGCAAGTAAGTATCCGGTCTGCAGTTTGCCAGGACACTGGGATTTACATGCCCCAACTCCCAGGAAAAGTTCCAGTGAGCTTGAAGACAGGAGAGGGCAGATCTTGCCATTTGTTACAGCATCAGTTGAGTTATGGAACACACGGGGCTTGCATCTGGGTTCCCTTCAACCCTATGGACCAACAGAATCAGCAGCATAACTCTCCCCCTCTCTCCTGAATAGCTTACTTTACTTTTCACCTTTCTCCAACTGCCAAGGCCGCTTTCCTGGTGGATGGGCTGATGGGAGGTCTTGTGCCACGCAAAGCAGACCGGAGCGAAGGTAACAACCACTGAGCACACATACGAGACCTCATCTCTGACACAACAGCTTCATCTTTCACTAGTCTGCAAACCTGATTTAAAGCTCCCGTAACTGACCCTTGGGCCCCAGTTTTAGGACATCGGTAAAATATCAGCTATCAAACCAAACCAGAGGCTCTATGCTGGCCACAAGGGGCCATGGCCCCAGTTTACTTCTCATCCGAAAGACGGCCTTATGCCCAGCTCGCAGGACATTAGTTCAGTTAAACCTGCTGAGTCCCATTCTGGCCCTTCCCGTTTTGTTGCCCCACTGAGAGCCCCTCCTGGAGATAACAGTGCAGAATTCATTAGGTGACAGCACTAGCCCAGAGGCTAAGGGAACCAGGTGCAGGCAGACCATGACAGGCTGGCTTTAGCTCCAGCTCACTGACTGATATTCCCACTTGCCCCATGCAGAAGGCTCAGGTGGGATGTCAGGGGCACATAGGCCTTTTGCCAGTCCCCTGCACACGGGGATTTTCACCTTGAATGGACAAGGGAAAATACTAGCAAGAAAAATGGGCATTTCCAAACACACCCTTCATGGCCCCTTGGGGTTTAGCAAAGAGCAGGGCACTGGGCCTGGTAGTTCTGGAACATTCACAGCGAAAAGAGGCTCCACTGAAGGGAGGGAAACACTTTGGATTGTAAAGAGCTGTACTGTGCTGCCGAAAGGGGAGTACATTGGACTGATGCCACGGTAAACGGCAACATCCCTTCTGCATTCCCCTTCTCAGCGACTGGCACAAAGAGAAGCTGTCTCCCACTGCCCTGGCGTGCCCAAGCCAAGCATTTCCAGGCCAATGATTTTAAGGGTGCCACCTCTGCATGGGTAGCTCCGGATGCAGGCTGCTCAGAGAGGCAACCCAGTGCAGGAATCGTTGCTGCTGAGAGAGCAACACTGGCCAGACACGTGGGCCTGGCATGGAACGACCAGTTTACACACAAAAGCACCTCTGGCCTCTGTGCAATGATGCCCAGATAAAGGTTGGTGAGGCTACACAGGCTCATTGGTCTGATGTAGGACGGCAGCTCTTGTGGGCAGAACTGGTTTATTATCTGGAGGTGCTGAAGCAGATTCCCAGCACCGTCACTCAGTGCATTCTGGGGAGGTGGCACCCAAGGGGCCCCATCAAGCAGCCCTTCAGGGATCACCTTAGAACATGTCCAGATACCTAACTCCTTCCCACCAGGTGTGTGTGTGTGGAACAAAACCATCACCCTCCTACTGCCAGCTCACTCCTTGGAGCACACCTTGGAGCCACGGCTGGTTCTATGGGAAGGGGATGGTTTCCCTACGCTGATTGCAGGGAGCCTAGCACGAGATTTTCTACTGAAAATTATTTATTTATTTATTACAAGTCTTGCTGGTTGCTTCCACCCTGCCCCCACTCATAGCAGGAAGGGGTCACCCCCAGCTTCTAGGGAACCAGGCAAGCCTGTTGCCACTGGTTACAGTTTTATCAGGAGTCTGGCTGTATTTGGCATTTCTCATAAACCCCCAGCTCCTGGAGTCCAGTGATTACATGAGGATCTCAGCTTTCATTTACAGTAAATGTCTAGCCCTCCTGCCTGAGAAAGAAGCTGAAGCTACGACTCCTACAGGCTCAAAGACCAGACAAAAATAAAAAGAACCCAAATTTTTTTAAAAGCTCTTGCTTGTGAAGGCCTGGCTCATCCTTTTTGAGCAGTTAGGGTTGGCAGAACTGCCTCAGGGTAGTCAGAAACATCCACTCCAGCTAGCCCAGACTGCAGCCACTTGTCCAGTATGAATGAGATGGAAGCCAATACCGGGTGAGGTCCCCCTTCCTACGCCATCCTCAGCCTTTGAAACAAGGCTGAACCCAGCAGCTCTTGCATCTGGACCAGGGCAGCAGATCTGGGCCATTCCAGGGTGGAGGCTGGAGCTCACTTCAGGAGGAGAGCAGGGAGCGATCAGATTAACCTTTCTGAAGGAAGGGAGCAAGCTAGAAATCAGCTCTGGGCTCATGCTGAGCCAAGCTCTGTTAGGAGCAGAGTCAGTCAAAGTCCTGGGGCCATCTTCCTGATATACGGCAATGCACCCAGAGGATCTCTGGCACTCTGGGGCTGCACAGCGAGCTCCAGTGAGGAAGCCTGGTGGGGTTTTGACAGCTTTGGTCCCTGCTTCCCCATAGGCTCTTACCAAAAGACCAGCCGCCCCTGAATAACGCACAGAGGTGCTGGAAGTCTCCTTCCTCACAGCCACACCCAGCTCCAGGAGAGATTACAAAGAGTAAGGGTCAGGTCAAACCACCTGAAAAAGGGGGCTTCGCCGCAAGGCAGGGCAGGGGAAGGACAGCACATTGCATCAACTCACCCTGCCTGTCTGCTCTCCGCAGCCGTGATCGCCCTGCAGGGAGCCGGAGCGGGGTGCCTGTGCTCGGCAACAATTACTGCCCGAGGTGCACGCAGCACAGGTGCTTCACTCTGGTGGCTGGCAAGCAGCCCCACCTCCCCGCCCAGGAAGAGTGGCTCAAACCATTAGCCAGTGAGAGGTGTTCGTTACCTGCCGCTCCCAGGGATGCAGAGGGCTGCGGGGTCCAGTGGAGGGAGACAGGCACAGCTGTGGGCTGCATTAACCAGCGAGAAAGGAAGTTTCTGAACGTGGACAGCTCACGAGCCAACCTGTGAGACAGCAAAACTCCTGAGGGGCTGCAGGTGGGGAAGGGTCAGGGCCGATTCCCTGTCTCTCAGACAGGTAGCACAGCCAGTAAGTGAGCTCTGTCTCCCTCCACCCCAAGGCCCCAGCAGTCAACAGGAGAGCGAGGGAGGCAGGGAAGGTTCCACATACACTTCACGGGTCCCCGCACAGACAGCTTTACTTCCCTGCCAACAGTAACGGGCATTACGGGATCCACCCTGCCACATGCACAGAGCATGGTGCAAGAGGAGCGGCCAGTTTGCTATCTATTAAATACAGATCTCATTAAACCACCACTTCTCCTGCCTCCGACTCCATCCCCCCTCCGCGGAGTCAGAGGGAACAAGACGGGGGCTACGAAAGAACATCACTGTGCCAAATGTAGCACTTTTCCATATGGGGCAAAGAGACTAGGCTGGGCAGGCAGGCTGGCTCCCAACCCCCCATGCTCAGTGCCAAGGCAAGGTAACCTGCCCTGGAAAATAGCCAGCCCCTGGCTATTTCCAGCACCTACACAGGTTAATACAGCCTCGCTTGGCCTGTAACAAGCAATCTTCTCACCCAGCTACAACCTCTCAGTTATGGACAGGCCAGTCACATAGACGACTCCTCATGGCGACACTTCAAATTCCTTGCACTTGGGAATCCACTGTCAGAGCACCCACGGAACTGGGGAGTCCTCCACACCTGCCAGGGGGCTCTAGGGACAGATTCAGCTTCCTTGGGCACTCAGTCCTGAGCAAAGAGGGCTAGTAAGAGGCACCTACGCGACCATGATTCTAGGATTTAGTGCGGACAACACAGCCAGACATCAGGCCCTGCTCCGAAGAGCTCACCCTCTGACCCACAGCCTCACTCACATCCGGTCGCATGTTCTCTCAGAGGACACATTGCAGAGGAGCTAAAAGGCACCCCCAAGGGCTTAGCAGGTGCAGTTCTCCCAGGGCTCGTTCTAGAGTGGGGCTGGGGACTTCTCATCCAAGGAGACTAACTGGTGGCCCCAGCTGGCTCTCCCCACTTCCATCTGCCTGCCTCCCCACCCAGTGCATGGAGCTCTCCAGGGCTTGTACAATATAAGAACGGCCACAGTGGGTCAGACCAATGGTCCATCTATCCCAGTATCTTATGTTCCAACAGTGGCCTCTGCCAGATGCTTCAGAGGGAATGAACAGAACAGGGCAATTACGGAGTGATCCACCCCCTGTCCCCCACTCCCGACTTCTGGCAGTCAGAGGCTTAGGGACAACAGAGCACGGCTGCATTTCTCATAAAACCCAGAAGTTTAAATATCTTCGTTCACTGGAGACCAGGTGCCATTATCAGGGGCAGCCCCTGGGGACGCCTCCCACATGCACTGCTGAATGTAACCATCAGCAGAGCGAGGAGTACTGGGAACAATTTTTGGCTCTCTGCTCATAGCAACTGTCTGATCCAAAAATGTCTGCTCAGCCGATCCTTTTTCACCAGTCCCCAGCCAGCTCCAGCCTTTGTACACACTGCCAGGGCAGAAGAGGCAAGAGAGGTTGTCCTGACAACCATTAATCACTGTCCTAGGTGCATATGCTATTAGGTTACCTGTTCCCTACTCTGGAGCTGGAGGGGGATGGGTACAGATGAGCCCAATTGCTTTAATCCAAGGTTCTTTGGGGAATGGGAAGGTCTTTGCTGCAGTAGCTTGAGCCATCCCATAGGGGCCGCTGTTCCTAGTACTCTGAGCCTGTGAGATTTCGGACTCAGATTCTTTCAGCTGCCTTGGCAAAATGGTTCTGCAGCCAGCCCAAGGGCAAGCAGGACTCGGTCGTAGCGCTGAAGGCTAGGAATGGAATACGGAGCGGTGAAGCAGAGCCTGTGAAGGAGACTCTTGTACCTTGGCTCTTGCCATCTGATTCTAAAATGCTATTAAGCGCTTGATGAAATCCCCGTACCACTCCCAAGCCCGCAGGAGGCAGGGCTGCCCTGTCCCCGATCACAGATGGTCACTGCGAGTCCGGGACACAGCTAGGATTAGAATTTGTGACCCAGCTCTGCGCTCAGTCCCCATCCCCTCAGAGGGACTGCAGTGCCATTGTGTGTGTTACCAAGAGACGCTTGGCTAAAGCTGGTATTTTCCTCTGCCCTTGGCATGTGACGTGCGGGACTTTCTCTGCTGGATACAAACCTCGCGCTGTTATCCAGGGTTCTGCTGCTTTGACACGAAGGGACTGCAGCAAAGTCCACACAGGGACTGCTCTCTCACCTGCTCCAGCCTGCCCTCCATCAGAAACTACCCTTGCCCCAGCTCAGCTACCGCTAGGATCTGAGCACAGGGGCTGTTGCCTCTTCCCCAGTTCATTTGCAGCCATCTCCCATGCCTGCCCACCCCAACGTGGGAGAACACCTTCACTAGATTTCACTGTCCCTTCAGAGCCAGGAACAGGGCTGGAGTAATTACAGTAATCAACCTGCCCAGCCAGACCCAATTAGCCTTGATTACTCACTCCCTTTCTTCCCAGACCTGCTCAGCCTAGGGAGCTCTGGTCACTGGGATTTTAACGTAGCAAAATGAGTCAAACAAGTGTCTTATTAGGATCCAGGAAGTGAGCGAAGCCCGCCCACTGCTAAAGGATCCCCCCCCAGCCTAAGAGGGGGGTCCACAGGACCTCGAAAACCAAATAATTACAGGGGACAACTAATGAACAACAGGGACAGGAGTGCGGTCAAAGGGTCAAAAGAAGGGAACCAGACGGGGACACGGAGCAGAGAACCCTGGACAGCGCCCACTGCTCCTTGAAGGCATCAAGGGAGTCAGTGGACGCCGCCCAGAGGAACTCTGCCCGGAGGCGTGAACGGATGGAGGATCGGAAATAGGCCCCACAGTCACAGGAGACTCCATCGGCCAACCTCCTCCCCCTGGTTTTATAGGTGGCCACTTTAGCCAGGGCCAGGAGAAGGTTGACCAGGAGATCCCGTGACTTAGTGGGGCCACGGACAGGGAGTGCATAGATAAGGAAGTGAGGGGAAAAGTGCAACCAAAATCTTAACAAAATATTTGTGAGGAGCCGGAATAGGGGCTGCAGTCTGGCATACTCCAGGTAGACGTGCGCCAGGGTTTCCCTCACGCCGCAAAAGGGCAGGTGTCCGGGATTGGGGTGAACCACGCCAAGTACATGCCCGTGCTCACAGCCCCGTGAAGGAGCTGCCAACTGATATCCCCAGCAGGCCTCGGGACCAGGGTGGAATATAGGCCGGCCCACCGGGGAGCCAAACAAGTGTGCCTGGCAGGCATAGGAGCCCATGGGAAACCCTGTACTTGCTGCAGGGGTAGAATACAAGCCCCATCTGCTTGTCTCAGGACAGCAGTACTCCCACCTCCTAGGAACATGCTCTATAGTGATTCTCCATAGTCCTGCCTCACCTGTGAGCACTGGGCTGCAGCTAATCACTGGTACAGTCTTGCTCTGCACTTCCCCCTAGGGCAGCTTGTGTCACCAAGCTAGGGGGCAGAAGCACACTGGCGGGAGAATGGGCTGAGGTGCCATCTCTGGGGTTCAGCTCTCTGGGAACAGCAGCAGCTCATGTCCTGGCATTTCCTGATGGAGACACCCCTACAGGGAGACTCTCCTCCCCCCCCCCCCCCCGGGAAGTATGAACTTTCCCTGTTTGTCACATACTGATCCAGCCCATCAGGCCAGGCAGTGCCAAATCGAGTGTGACCCTCCACTCTAGCCATGTTCCCTGTAATCCAAAATGGGTTTGGTCCTTTCCAGCCATTCATTCTGCTGTGAGCTGGGAGGCGACAGAGCTGCCCATTCAGCTTGGCGTGAAGCCTGTTTCTCTTAAGCACAGTATGTGACTATTCTCCCTGTTTCAATGGAAAGCAACACAGCAGGGGCAGCTGCGTACACTGTGGCATCAGAGAGGAAGGCCAATGTTGCCAGTTTTGTTTCTATTGGCCCAAGGGGGGGCAGCACATCATTCCATATTAAACACACAGATATTAAGGGTTCCTGTTTCAGGATCAATACTGGATGTATTTTAAGAGGGGTTAGCACCCAAGATTAGGGAATTACTCCATTCAACCATGTTCCAAATAACCTGGAAGTTAAGCTGTGCATATTCATTGCCTGAGACACCATGGGGCACCTCACTGGCTTAACCACACCTCCTCCTGCAGTTTCCAAGTTTCCTCTAGGACAGAATCCTTTTCCCCGTGTAACTGAGGGACTTTGCTCAGACCTGCTCCAAAGCCTGCTGAACCGCCTGACCTTTCCCCAAATATGAGAGTTTTACAAGGGATGGTGAAGCCTGAGCACTCACTGAGAGCAGCTTTCAAACTACATCCTCGCATAAGGGTTTGAGATCTGCACTGTACTGTTACCTCATCCAGCAGCTAGATTCTAGCCAAGTACCAGAGCAAGCCAAACCACACATGCAGCCAATCAACACCAGGAACTTCAAACACAGGCCTGCTGTGCACGTAGGGGAGAAAGTTACAAGTTTCTGCAGGAAATTCTCAAATCAATTTGAGAATTCTGGCTAGTCCATAAACAGAGTGATGAAACTGCACAAGTTACATGCTAGAGACAACTGGCCTGGATCAACTTCCAAGACAGTGGCTGGGGTGCCCTCTGCTGAATAATTCTGGGACTTGCTGAACTGACACTGGCTGGCAGATTGCATATTTGCATAATGATGCCACTTTGCCAGAGAAACTGCAGAGCCGACTGTCACAGTTCAGGGCCACTGTACCTGTATTTCCTTCCTAAACAGACCTGCCCACTCTCTCTTCAGAGACAGCTAACAGTGTAATTGGTACAGTTACAAGTGCCACATGGGTCTCTCTATGCAAGCCTACTGTATTCCTAAGCAATACAGAGAAACAATACAAATAGTGAAAGAACCCACACATATGCTAATAAGCTTACCAGGGGTCCCTCCACACCTAAATCCTAACATGTCCCCAAGCCCTCCTTCAAATCCTAACACAGGGAATTTTTTGTGGTCA